AGGCAAAGTGTAGAACTACATGGATTTCGTTTCTGAGTCATCTTCTCCCACACTCTCCCTCAGCCATCAGCATCTGGATTAGGCTCTCCGCTGATGCTCTCATCTTGCCCTTTAGAGCACTGTCTCATCGCCTGGTTTCTTTAAGAACACCGAGGAGGCTTTGATGCCTCAGTCACGGTTCTCACCCTCCTTCTTTAGAGTTCCCTGTGAGAAAGATAAACACATGGCTGCAATACTGTGCTGAACTATTATCACTTGGTCAAACACAGCCAAGCGTGGACAACCTGAGACTTGCTGATACAACAGACGGAGAACCTGGGTTTATGTCAGTTGTATTTGCAGAGCAGACTTGCTTCCCACCATCTGTCTCTTCCTCTCACTAATCTTTTTCATAAATTTAAAAAATACATATGGGGTACCTACTATATACCTATTCTAGGTGCTGAGAAAAGAGCAGTGAATATAAGAAACACAATGCTTTTCACATAAAGCTTATATTCTTCTGAGAGAGCGAGGCAGTATACAAGTAAATGAACAAACACCTAGATTAATAATTTGATTATGACTACAGATAGGTTCTATGGAGGAAATGAAACAGGCTTATTTGAGGAAGGATCTGAATGAAAAAAAAGGAGCTAAGCATGTGGGGATGAAGAGACTCCAGCCAGAGGAAATGAACAATAAACACAAAGACACTGAGGCAGGAACAACCTGGGTATCTCCAAGAGCAGGATGAAGGGTAATATGCCAGGAAGATAATAAATGGTGGAGTTAGAAGACAAGGGCCAAGAGGTACACAAGGGAAAGATGGTAGATCAAAGGAGGTAGGTCTATATTCAAAGTGCGATGGCAGTGCAAAGCCACTGGAGAGATTTAAGCTGTAGAACCTGACTGCTCTATGGAGAGTGGACATTTGAGAAGGAAGAAGGAACAATTAGGTTATTGCAAAAGTCATGTGAGAGATGGTGGCATCATGAGCCAGCTCTGGATAGTATCCTGAGCAGCGGTGGTGGCACCCAGGGGCTCACCTTAGAGACTCAGAAGACCGAAGGGTCCAGGTGAGCTGGGCAGATGGCCCAAAGGACTGACTCATGGCACCCAGATTTTAGTCTCTTCTATCCTTCTGAACCCATGTCTCTTAAATGTCCAGGGCTTTCTATGGGGAGCTCCCTGGGAACAGCTGGTAGAGGAGAGAGTCGCTGTGTACAGCAGGGCATGAAATGGGAGTGATGTGTTCTTTAGTTCTTTATTTGAAGATTTCCAGCCTATAATTCAGGTACTGCCTGTAATTTTCCCAGAAAGGAAGGATTCTGTTTGAATTTTGCCAAAGGAGCCTCTTTGTAATTTAGCAAAACATCACAAAGTAGCATTGCTAAAGGCTACAATTCAGAGGTGTGAAAACTTGTGTACCCGAAATGTCCTAAGAGGCATCTGTGTTCCTGGGTTCCAGCCCCTGCTCTTTACAGTACATGTGCTAATGGAGCTAAGATTCAGAAACCAGATCTTTCTCTAAACAATGAAGTCAAAATTATAGTCAAATGAGTTGAAACTAGGTAATTTTGCCTACCACAGGCCATCCTGCTAACATATTTATTGTATTTAGCACCAGGCCAAGCTCTTGGAAGCATATGAAAGAATTATGACATAGCCTCTGTCATCTAATTGGTGAGGTGAAGCCAATACTGTGCCTCACACAGCCGCCACTCAGCCTAATGCAACACTTCCAATCTTGAGATCGTAGATCCCTACCAACCTAATGTCCTGTCCAATTCCCCATCGTTGAGTGCTACCTCTAACTCCTAGCTGTATCCAGTTCAAAACTTCATCAGCAACCTAGGCTCCTTGCTGTTGTCATTCCCTAATGACCCGCTTCTCAGACCCGCCCTCCTTTCCCAGGGAAGACAAGTTGTTTCACCGTGGCTTGCTCACAACTTTTTTTTCAGATCTTTCTACATGGAACTTTCTGTGACCCTGAAGCGATTCCAGTCTGTGGATATTTCAAACCTGTAAGAAACCACTATTTGGAAACTATCAGATGAGTTATTCGGTCAGCTTTTCAAGATGATTTTGAACCCCAGATACCTCAGGCATTCTGCAACATGGGGTATCATGACAGAGTTAAGAATGCTGCATTATATCATCTTTTTCAGCTTCTGGAACCTACCAACAAAGCCAGTATACTTTCCATTATTTTAAAAACAATTTGGCAATAGGACCCACTTGGGTAAATACCGAATAGTTTCTCTGGTGTGAAAAAATTAAAGTGTAAATAAGGTTCAAATGATATAATCGACAGTGAGAAGTAGGAAGAAAATGGCTAAAGGGGGAAGTGGGAAGGGGAGGGAAAGGAAATAAGGATAAAGAAAAAAATGTGAAAAAAGGAAAAAATGGAAACAAAGTCTTTGAAAATAGGGGAGGGTGAAGGGGGGCAAAGGGAAGGCAGGGGTATGGGGAAAAAATAAGAACCAAGACATATCATGTAAGGGTACAAGATCCCAATGATAAATGTAACTGTATTGTTTGCTTTAAATGTACCAATAAACTTAATGGGGGAAAATAAAAATAATTTGGCCAATGATATGTTATAGTTAGCACAAACTGAGTAAGCAGATTATGCAGGAAAAATTCAGTGGAAAAATAACACTGGATATCATATAGATGGAACTGGGAAACAAGATGAGAGTCACCTGATTTCCAAATATCAATTTGGAGCCCATGAGCTTATTACTTACTCAGCATAGGAAATTTGATAAATATCTTACCTACCACTGAAAAACTGGATTAGATCACAGCTTATTTAAGGTTATCTGAGGTTCACCTGTTCCTCTGAGCTGTTGCAGATGTCTTCATTAATGAGGAAAAGGAACAGAGGAAATTGGGTCAGGAAGAATGAGTGTGCACCAACTGTGGCTGGATCCCAGTCCTGTTTATCCCCCAATGCAGAAAGGCAGGACAGTGTGAGTGGGTTAGGCCTGCAGCCTGACAGGCCACTGAGCTCAGGCTTGGGAAGTCCTGTCAGAGGGTGACTCAAGCCTGGACTAGCAGCTGACCAAGGAACCCCTCAACATCCTGAGAAGGCTGGCTTGAAACCAGGGAATCTGTGAGATAATCTGCAGGCTAGTCAGAAGGGAGAGGACTGGGGGGTAAAGTATGGGACCTTTCCTCCAGGATGGGACATTGAAAGACTATTCGTTGGGGTAGGTGAAGATGAAAAGAACTTAGAATTTGGAGTCAGAAAATCTGGATTCCATTCTTGCCTCTGTGTGCCATCCCTGGCCTCTGAAGCCTATCTAGAAAGTGGAGGTGACGATGCCTGCTTGTTGTTTAAGAAAGTCATAGGTTCTCGGGAGAACACAACATGAAGGAAAGGACAAGTATGGCGCGAGGTCTGATGAACATTCTACAAAGCCGTAGAATAATGACAGGGTAACAAATTGCTGTGGTTTCAAAGGTTACGTTTTTCATATTTGGCAGGGTACAAAAGCTGGGTGCAGGATTTGAGGCCTAACTGTAATAGAACATTCCTTTTTTACGACCAGTCGGAGTGTTGTGTGTTAAGTAGAGTGAACGCTGCAGCAAATTCAATGGGACAGGTACCCATTCAGTTCCACGAGAGCCCTCCTGGGGCTGAAGGGCCAGGCTGGGGAGTTTCCTCGGCAGTAGCTGACACTGCTTCACTCTGTTATAGGTAAAAAATACAGACCCTCTGTTTCCAAGGCTGTCGATCTGGCACCTTTCACCAGCATTAAACTCACTTCAAAATAATTTGAAACAGCATTAAATTTTAAAAAGCCTGGTAGATTTTTACTTAGAGGTACAAAAAAATACGGTTTGGCGAGTGGAGCATGGCGGCTTGGAAGAAACATTGGCCTAGAAGACCAGAAACCCTGAGGGGCAAAAGCAGCGGGTCTGTTTATAACACAGCTTTTTCTTTAGAGAAACTGTGGCAGCTCTGGAGAGTGGGGGAAGCAGAAGGGAAGTGGAGAAGAAAATTTCTCGTTTAAATAATCTCATGGTTTTCAGCAAGGTCAAAAGTCTGAGAGTTCTGTAGTACCTTGGGGAGCCCGAAGAAGAAAAATGCGACTTGCCAAGGTCAGTGGTTTCTGACACGGATGCGAATTCTAGCCTTGAGCGGGTAGGGAGGGGGCGGGGAAGGCTGTTGGATGAGAAAAGCGGAAGCAGTGGCAATGAATAGACGACATTTAGCACTGGCAGGAGACGGGGCCTGAGTGGCTTGTGCAACCAGTGCCTTTAGAGACTTTTCCAGAACTAACAGAGCCACCTCTTCATCGCCTACATGTGGATTTCCCCTGCCATGGATTCCTTTCAAAGTCTGCAGTTGCTACCTCAACTTGCCCACGCCGTAGTTTCTTCACTTCATTACTGCACTTTGAGAATCAAAGTGGGAACTATACCTAGGCAACACTGGTTCGGAATGTGCCCCCAGCTAAATAAAAATGAAAAGCTATTTAAATTTCTGCAAGCATAAATGCACAGACTTTGTTTACTTTCCTGCTTTGGGCTACTGAGCGTCCCGTAAAGAGTTACGCTTGCTTCTCTCCCTTAGGCAGAACAAACACGAACTGGCTGGGCACCTCCCCACCTCCACACCAAATGCAAGTCATTCAAGTTTTCTTACCAACACAGTAATGGCTTCCCCCACCCCCAGAGAATCACACTTTAAATAGCACAACCAGACAAAACATGATTTCTAGGATAAAAAGAACTTTAAAAACAGTCACCTTAACCGTTTAGGGTTTTTCTTTCTTCATCTCTTCCCCGTCTCCTCCCGCCTTTCCCCTCCCTTTCTCCCCCACCCCCTTTCTTTCATTTTATGTCAGAACACTGTGAGTGAAAAATAATACAAAACCTAAACAGGCAAATTACAAACCTCACATGTTAGATGGTAGAGCTGCTTCTTAAAATGAGACAATCGCGGCATTGCACAGGTATAGCCTGTGGAAAGCGAATGCACGCGCGAGCCCATCGGAAGCACCTACTTGTTGGAACTGAAGGAGACCTCTTGGGCGCTCTGCGTTTCTTAGAGGCAGTCTTCGTGGATGCTCAGGAATGGGCCACAGCATGTGTAAATTCTTCCCTTCTAGAGCCACAGCAGAAGAGCTCGGCTTTGAGCGCAGCGTGACACGGATGCAGACCGAGGGCCTGGCACGGCAACCTTTCCTTATGTCTCGTTCTATGAAGTTGCTGTCCGAGCTGCACTCTCCTTTTCTCTACTCGGATGGTTACAGTGCCTTCCTTATAGCGTCTCAGAGAGCATCACAGGAGATAGTGCACCGACTGTCCTTAGCGTTGTGCGAGGCCTGTAGCAAGTCTCTGTCAAATCAAAGTTATTTTATAATAAATACCTGAACTTTTTTACAATTGAACAGACACAGTGGAGTCCTTTATCACTCAGGCATAAAGGCTCTGGATATTTTCTTGAAATATTTGTAAACATCTGGAAACAATTTAGTCTGAGGACACTTTAGGTAACTAAAGGGACTCATTCTCAAAATGAATATGTAGTCTCAGAAGACTTTCAGGTCAAAGAGCAAGTGACCAAATACTTCTACTCAATCCAGAAAGCTTTGTGGTGAGGGACAAGGAAAAAAGAAAGAAGAGAAGAATTAGGAATAATAAATAGATTTTGCTTAAAGCTAAGCAACAGGAGTATTTTGACTGAGAAAACATGTTGCTTACTCTATAATTTAGAAGACAAAGAATTTAGGATATAAATCCATTTAATTGCTGTGTAACCTCTAAATTCATTGTTATACTTCTCAAAAATATTGTCGTTATCTTTCTGTTAAGTATCTCAGAAGATAAAATAAATCCAAGAGCCTCCTATTGACTTTGGACCCAGAAAATAAAAACTTAAAGAAACACACTTAAAATATAGTGTGTGTCAGAAAAGGGTAATGTTCCACAGTGTTAATGTTTATTACTGAAATTGAACTATACTGAGGCAGAAAACTAAGATATCTGATCTTTTTCTGTTTTTTTTTTTGAAAATTTATTTTATTTAACCAATCCACTTGAAAAATCAATCAATAGAACATTTTAAATTTACTTTTAAAGATAGCATTAAATATTTTCAACTTTCCAACCTTTAATTTTTCTTGAAAATTAATTTCAGAATCATGTTTAAATCTAGACATTAGAAATTTATTCAACAGCAAATTTTATTTTAAAAGGTGAGACCTCTTCTTACATAGCTAAGTAAAATACCTTTAGATAAATTTCCTACTTTCTACTGTGTCTCCTAAAAGTAAAGCCCTTAGAGCCGCAAAGTAATAAAATGTCTGTACTCTCAAAATAAAAATAAATGAGTGTATTTAACTTATGCAAAAGTTTACTATGATGTGCTTATTTCCCTCATTTTACTGTGGAACTTGGAAAACTTTGTTCTTGTTCTGAGGAATTGTTTGCTTAGAATCTCAGATTTAGATACTATCCCCCCCATCTTAATCATATAATCACTAATGTTATTACTGAAACTCAGTTGGTGATTTTATGGTAACTCCAATTCAAATAAAAATTTCTGTTATACCTTATTCATCTTTTGGTTTCTACTGACAACAGAATTTACCACTGTACCTCCAAACTGATAGGTCAGCTCAAACTAGATGAATATAATCTGGGTGAAAGGTAGATATTTGAGAAATTTTCCTGATTTAAAGTTACGCTTCATTAGCACGTTATCTTTGCAGAGTTCTTAGAACATAGTGGACAAAACATTAAAGAGCTGAATGAATGACACAATCTTGGCTATTACAAGCTATATGTCTTCATAGATGGCAATTTTGAGTTTACATAATGCAAATGACAAAATATAGTTTATTTACTATAAAAGGTTTTGAAATGGAATTTCACAGGGCTGAAAGGATTGAGAGCATTCTTGGTAAAGATGTGAGTGGAAATAAGGCTGTGTTTTGAGACAGATTTGTATATTTAATCTTGTTTATGGCCATCTGCTAAGAAACACATTAAAAAAAAACTTTCAGTGTATGGTTCCAGGGTCCAAATATTTATGACCTTAAAATATCATTTTCATTTCTTAGATATTTTTCTTGGTTTGGGCACCAGGTGGCGATATGGGGTGAGGTGTGGGTTGTGCAGGGCCCAGAGCTTGGATTGTGGCATTGGGACAAAGTGTATGGAGGTCTGGAGAGCAACTGATTGGAAGTTTGAGAGGAGACTTGGTAAGGGTTTTGTTACATTTTGACTAAGAAGCATTAGGTCGGCATCCCTCATCTTTATGAAATACTGTTCTTATAGATGTCATACTTCACTTGGAAAACTCTACATCCCGCCTGCCATTTTGATTATCATCTCATTAGACATAGAGGTCTTTGCTCCTTCCTAGGCCATTCATGCTGCTTTTCCCAGACACCTACAAGGTCCCATACACTGGAAATACTTATTCCTCGACAAGTCTGGTCCGTGCTGCCAAGCAGCTCCTACTGTAGCAGAGGAAGACCCTCTATCAGCCACTTGTCATTGTCTCAGAACCAAGGCAGAGAGAAGAAGGGGCACGAGGATGGAGTTGATAGCTGAATGGGTAAAGAAAAACTTCATGGGAGGCTGAAACTTTGAGCGGAATATTGAGAGATGACTGGGGTTTCATCACTTAGACTGAGGGGTGGTTCTGAAAGACACATCGCCCCCAGGGAAGTGGCTTGGGTCTTAGCCCTTATTCATAGTCATACTCAGAAGCACAATCAGGAGTTACCATTAGTAGTCTAGTTTTTGAAATTTTAAAATGTGACAGCTAGGGATTTAGCTCAATGGTTTCACCGCCTGCCTTGTCAGCACAAGGTCCCATCTGAGGTTCGATCCCCGGTACAAAAAAAAAAAATTTAAAATGTGAGAAAATACATATTTTGTAAAACTCAACTTCGCCAAGTTTTGCCCATATGTGAGAATTTGTGTGAGGAATAATTATAGTATAAATTGGACTGCATTTTTGATTTTTATTAAATTCAATTTTTATGAGTGCATGTTTGCAGTACATAATGATTGCATTCCTCATGGGAGGTTGGTACGTGTACCTAACACTTGTTAGTTCTTTTTTCATCCCCTTCACCTCCCTTCCTCCTCCCTAAATTGGATTTTAATATTCAAATGTTTTTATTGGGTCTGGATAGAGTAATATGGGCAACTGGAATATATACTGGAGAGGTCTTAGAAGTGTAACTCTGGGAAAAGTCTGAATAAATGAAATTTACAGGTTATACTGAGAGATGAAATTTTCAGAAAATATAAAAAGGCAACAGGAAGTTGGCTTCTTTTAGGGGCTGTCACGATGTTAGAACAAAGAAATGCATGAATTGGTTCGATGGAAATTCATGAATCCATTAGAAAGGACTGGAGATTTAGCTCAATGGTTCCGCCGCCTGCCTTGCAAGCATAAGGACCAGAATTTGATCCCCGGTACCAAAAAAAGAAAAAGAAAAGACTTGATTGTGGGGGAAGAGGTACTTGCCAACGTTTTAGGTTGGATAACAGCACTAACAGGTGCCCCAAGTAGCAAGACTGAGAGGAGGGTAAGACTTCCAAGTGAGAGTCATATTTTATCTAGTGCCTAGATAATTGTTGCTCAAAAAGTGTTTGCTGAATGAATAAAATGAACTACAAAAGATGGGATGGCTGTTGGCAGGCAAACAAAAATTGGATCAGAAATGTTTATTAGCCAACCCAGGAATGAAATATAAAGTAATGTCTTTCAGAGACTGTTGACAGCGTTAATCAAGTCAAACTTAAATAAATAATGAGAACCAACTTGCTTTTATAGAGTTGCCACTTGGATTCTGACATCGCTGGGAAAAGTTTCTTTCCCTCCCTCCGTCTCTTTCCTCCTTTCTCCTTTCCTCTTTCCTCCCTGATTCCATCTTTTTATTTTTTCTCATATTTTTCTGATATATTATTATGTTAACTGATTTCTTCAGTTCTATTATTTCTTTTCTTCCCTCCTTTTCCCCTCTTTTTAAACACTACCCCTTTTTCCTCTTCTATTTTGTATATTGTGACAAATATAGTATTGAAAATAAATTAATTAATTAATATACAGTAAATGAGTATAGTCCCAAAGGTTTAAGGTAAAGTATAAAAATATAAGCTTTGTGCTGTAGTAGTTGAGTTTCAGTAGTAGGTTTTGCGGAACTATGGGGCCTGCTTTTGGGGGAGGCATTCTTTAATCTGATTTATTATAACATTTATTCAAGAAATACTTAATGTAAAATTACTGTGTATTTACCACTGTATTAAACACTCAGAGGGAGGGATACAGAGTTCATTGTTCTTTAAGAAACAAGAGTTTATAGATGGGTCTAGAATCTAGACTCTAATATATAGAAAAATAAATATAATATCAGTGGAAAGTGATGGGATGAGAGAGAAACAAATTACATAATACAAGAGTTGTTTTTTGTTCTTGGCAGTCCAAGACTGGAGTAGGATCTACTCATGTTTACTTTTCTAGGAAAGAATATCAATTTATATTAACAATGTCTAGGGTTAGAAAACCTTCCTAGTAACAGACATAAATTATTAAAGGTTTAGAATCCAATTTCTTAATTTTCTACAGTTTCAACACTTTTGATTGAATCCTCAATTTGAAGAGTTGCTTAAAAGGCTTTAAATTTTGTTAATAAGTGTGATTGGTAAGCTTAATGCAATATCCTTCTTTGATTCACTGCTGAATTATATTTTAGGATGTAGCTAAATTTCCCTTGTAAAAGATCACCTTAATGTTATTATTAAATTGCTGAGTGCATTTGATAAACAGCTGAAGCTGTATTTTATTTCAGAATTCTCATTTTGTTTAAGGATTTGAGTCTCCTAGTTGGAGAATCATTTTTTTTAAAGATAAGCGATAATCTATGACAAGTATTGAAGATTGAAATGGATACTGTAGAATACCTTCATGGAAAGAAATGAATCTCTCTCTCTCTCTCTCTCTCTCTCTCTCTGTCACACACACACACATTTACTTTTTCACATATTTCTGCAACTGAGACTTTTGGAATTTTTATATAATCAAAAATGCTTACCTTCTGCAGAAAGCCCTTGACCCAGAGGTACTTTGGGGAATTTTAGGAGCTGGCCTAATCCTACCTATATTCCAGGCAAATTTTGACAGCCTTATTGCTTTTCATCATTAAGTGAACTTTTCCTAAATAGTTCAGCATGTTAACACCACAGTCTTGATTCAGTTCCAACCAACCTTCAATTTATTCCATTCAGCCTGGTCATGGCATTCCTCCCCACTCCTCTGTGACCTGAGCCATTCTGCTATGTGTAGCGTTCTCAGGAGACAGAAGCTATAGAAAAGCCAAATAGTATGGCTTTGTTATGATTTACTAATCACAGGGCTCTACCTCAAAGGAATGACGGTGCGAAGAGATGAATTAGCATTGATAAATGACTTGCAACATAGACTATGCCGTAGAAAGGTTCTAAATATACTATGAAAAGTGGAGACAGCATGCAAATGTGATTAGGGAGGAGAGGTCAGAGGGCAAATGCTGGAATGGGGGTGCATTAGGGTCAGTGTGACTGAATTCTCCTATGATGTAATTTCCTGCACACACCAATCTCAGAAGCAGGCTTTCAGGAAACAGGATATTTGATATGGCAGCACTGCCTTACTTATAAGGGGTCCAGAAAAGAATAACAGTTGGCTTTCTTGCTGAGCTGTGGTCCCCCTATCACTGACCCCCACTAAACTCAACTATCCATTATAAAGAACTTGAAAGTATGTGTTAGGTAAAACTTGTTTCAGCCCGTGTCTTAAAAGAAAACCTTTAGGAATAAGGAATTGCATAATAGTATGGAAGGTGGATCATAGAGTGGATGTGGCAATTTTGTGACTTAACAATTTCTTTGGAAATGGGAAAGAAAAGATAAGACACTCGAAGTGGACCAAGTTTATAAGATGTGATGGAGGGTCAAGGAAAAATCCTCTGAGAAATCTGATCTGAGTAGGGGGAGGTTAGACATGAGGCAAAGATAGCGTGCTTACAAAGTATGAAATGCAGGTGAGTTTTGTGCTTACGAAGTGCCATATTGGCAGTAAAGGGGTAAAAAAAGATGCGGGTATACGAGATGCACATACCAATTCCCCAAAATGAACAGCCCTATTGTATATTGCAAATGTACACTAATAATAGTCAGGAGCAGTACTTTCATCTTTCTTACATGGATTTTATTCCTAATTTTCATGTTTTCTGCAAGAAGTGACAATACTATCTTTGCCATATAGATATTCCACAAAGCAAAGACAACTTTAATTTTTTAAAGAAACTCTGCAGTTTTCTTGGAAAAAAACTGCTGCCACAAAGGATTTTAGTAACATATAGTTTGGTTTCCAGGCGCAATTGTGTCTGAACTCTATGCGCAAATATATCCAAATGTCAGCACTGTAAGATTTCATTTTCTCACTTGCATTTGTTATGGTACCTGTCAAGATATGAAATGCAGGAGAATGGTGGAATCCGTTGTTTGAATGAATTAAAAAAATTATAACTTCAAAATTGAAAGAGAACTTATAAGTGATCAAACCAACGTATTCTGGGAAATGCAATTCCTTCTCTGGTTTTCCTGGCAGACAGAATCCAGCCTTGCTTCACCCTGTGGAGGTCACAGGTCAAGTGTTATAATAGGTAAGAAGAGTTTGTGTCTCTCACATTGGCCACAGCTTCTGAAAGGTGAAAGACTTTCAGCTGGAGAGCACACAGTCTTATCTGTGAGATGTAGGGTGAAAATTATTGTTATGAAAGTTCTGGGTATGTGCAGGATGCCCATGCATGATGTATATGCCCATTTGAGAGACACATGTGCCCTATATAACTGTGTTTTCATATTGGAAAGCTAGTCAAAAGGGCAGAGAAGTATGTATGATCCTATGGAGAAAGTAAGATTTGAGATGGTTCTTAATGCCAGGGAAATATGTTCACAGTATGTACTGCTGTTTTTTAAAAGCATATTAATCTGTAATCCCAGCATTTTGGGAGGCTGAGGCAGGTGAATTTCAAGTTTGAACTCAGCCTTTGCAACTCAGTGACTTAGTGAGACCATTTCAACATTTAAAATTTTTAAAAAGGGCAGACTGGGGACGTAACTAAGTGTGAGGGTTCTGGGTTCAATCTTTAGTACCAAAAAAAAAAAAAGTGTTCATGTTTTTTGTACAAAGCACATCTTTTTCTAAATTCAGGATTGCTACTTCCTTGCCAAATCAATGAAAGCAGATTGTAAATAAGACTTTACTGATTTTCTTTTTTCCTTTTCCTTTAGTAACCAAATGCTTTCAGCCACTGGCATCTAATGAGAAACAGCTGTGCTTGAAGGGTTCCTATAGATAGTAATCAAGTGTGATAACATCTAAGGATTTTTGTGCTGTTACAATAACATCAGACTTGGGAATTAAGAGGGGGCTAAAGGCATCAGGTCTTCCAATTTGTCATTCAGCTTTATAGACTAAGGTAGGAAACGGGCAGAATCTGGTAAGCTGGATAGATGCTGAGATAGTCTGACCTTCTGGGTAGTGTGAGAACGTGGAATAGCAGAGTCTCTTTCTTCAGCGAGGGTAGGGAGGGTTTGCTGGATACCTCCGCAGGCCTGATATGAAACAGAACTGATGTTAACATGATTCAATGCAGTAACTGTGCCATACAGACTTCCAAGCAAGAAGAAACAGAGAGAGAGAGAGAGAGAGAGAGAGAGAGAGAGAGAGAATGAGGAAGCTGAAGCGATTTGCACATCAGTTAGGTAGTTGCAGAAATAACTGCAGCCGGAGCTCCCATTCGTGCCTGTGGGTCTCATCCCACCAAGGGCTTTCCCATAGCTGCACTGTAGTCGTGGCTGCTCAAAACAAGGTGCCGCATAAATACTGCACACCAGGACAAGCTGATGTTGGTTTGTTTTTCTTTTTACCGAAACCTTTACAGAACAAATTGATGCTAGTATTATCTTGCTGTTCACAGACACTTGGTAGAAGGACTAAGTGTCCTTAGGGGGAAAGGACACTCTCTTATGCTGGGAAAATGGGAGCTGCTCAGCCACAGTGAGACCAAGGAAAGCATTCTCTTCTTTAGACTTAAGACCCAAAGTCTCCATACTGCTAGCCTTGAAGTGTTTTCCACTGGGACACATTCATTCCTATTTAATTATATTTCCTATTAGATCCAACTTCTCCTATCAATGAGAAATCCTCAGAGCCCTCTGGGCACATGCTCTCCTCTCACATGCATGTGAACTTGCACCTTTCCTCTCAATATGCAGAGCCCTACCCTCTCTGTTCACTTCTATCCTGAGTAAAATGCTCTTTTAGTTCCCTTCTATGGGACCTTTACTGGAATCTCAGTTGAAGTTATAGCAAATGCTTAGTGCAACTTAGGACAATTTTTCTGGACCATTAAAGATACTCAATGTGGAGAAATAAAAGATAAGCGTGCTTTTCTCTGAACTTCCACAGAAATGCCTTGGTATCTTAGTTTCCTCCATCAGTGGTGATGGACGTGCCCAAAAGCAGTGCAGAAAGAGAGACAGAGAGGACCCACAGGTACCTCACACCCGCACTGGGCTCTGTCTGAGAGCAAAGGAGAGGGGGCTTGTGAAGTCCCAGGGCCACAGAGCATAAGGCACCGGGAATGCTGGTCTTTGGCCTTTTCCAGACTCAGGTTTATTGCCTTTTTAGGAAGTGACAGCCACTATCTTGCCATTTGTGTTGGAGATTATTCATTTATCTCTTTATTTATACGCAAATTACTTTGGAGGCTAGGAAAGCCTATAAAATTTTACATATTCCACACTTGGGGCTTACACTGAGTCTTTGTTAAATAAAATGAATTCTCACAGATCTGCTTTGAGCTACTTTCTTTGCTTCTAAGCACAGACTCTCTCAGAGGAAGGAAACAGTAAAGTTCTCACAGAGAGAAAACGTTTACCACTCAGTAAAAAATCCCTGGATCTTGCTGTATGAAAGCTTTGATTTACCTCGGCTCACTCCTTCACGAGTTAATTTAGAGCACCAATAAAAGGAGATTATTTTTGGACTGCGAATCTGCCTGGCATACTCTTTGAACTTCATAGAGCTAAATCAAGCTATCCAAACTCCCGAGATTTTTAGAGAAGGTCAACCACAAGCGATAGCCCTGTGATAGTTTTTTTGTGAACCCAGCAGGCCAAATGTGAAAGAACATTCTTTAATCTGGCGAGATTAGAGGCTACAAACATGAATGGGTCAACTTCTTGAACAATGTGAATGAGCCCGTGAAGGCAGGGTGCTCATTTACACCCGCACTTCCCAGGCCAGGGGACAGCCAGGAAAAAGGAGGACTGGACGGAGACCAGCTGTAGCATGGTCTGCGAGGCAGAGCTGGTTTCCACTGGGCAAAATACTCAATCTCTTGGAACCTTGGTCACTTTATTGTAAAATGGGAACAATGATCTCTCTTGAAACGCTGTAATAATGTACATGTAAAAAGTTATCCCTTGATAATCACCTTCCGGTTACAATATTTTAATTTTGATTGTGTTCTGTGCTGGCATCGAACTTTTCTATTTTTTTCTAATGATAAATACAAGACAAGCTAATTACAGAAAATTAGAGAATATACCAGGTGTGATGGAAGTAAACAGTGAGTGTTTAAATTAAAAACTTACAGCACAAGACACATTGTCATTAATCCCCCCAAAACAGGCCCTGTTGATTCTACACACTTTATTTCATTGTTCTTGCCACATTGTGAAGTAGTTCCAGAAGTTCTCTTTCATGAGTGTCTTTACCTGGTGTGATCAAAAAATATGTGACTGCTGCTGATGCGTGCAAGCCAACAAAAAGGCAGGGTAGTAAAAACCTTCACCTTATTCGGTGGTTAGGGCACCATGAAACTTCTGGCTTTTCCTTAAGGAGAAAATGACCACAATAGGAAAACATTTTGAATTGATTCAGGACATGGAGGCAACCACAACAGCCCTATGAAAGATACTCATACACCAGGACTCCCAGGTCAGCTTCAGAAAGTGGCAAGAATGACAGTATAAATATTCGAAGAGAAGGGGAGTATTTTGAACAGGATTGATAGCAATGTATCTTTTACCGTGAAACATTAGAAAAATCTTTTAATTCATCATACTATTCGATTGCACCTCATAAAAAGAAGAGGAAAAAATACCCATTACTGCATAAGTGAACACACTTATAATATTTTGATTTATTTTCATCTAGTCTCTTGCTGAATACAGTATTGTTTCATCATACATGGAACTGGGGATATATATACATATAAATTCAGTGTTTTCATGTGATTAAAAAATCTTTATAACATAGGTTTTAGTCTCACCTGTTTCCCTGCTCATCATCACTTTTGTCTTCATCAATATCACCTTCAAGATCATTGCCATTATCATTTGTTAAACATTTGTTAAATCATATGTAAGTGATTTAAATATATTGTGTATCTTCTTTCATTCTCATGAAATATAAAGTTCATATACTTAATATACATAGCCAATAAAAACAAAGATATTGAAGAGAACAGTATTGACCTGTAAGCCTTGTTCCTCTGACAGAAACTTCAAGACTGTTAAACTAATTTATCTGGCAACGAGGTGACAGTAACACTGATAATTGGCCATGTGCTTTTCCGGAAAGTTACAGCTAAATAAGGATATATACCTGTCTGCATATCTTGAGAGAAATCTCCTAACGCTATATAACAACTTGAGGGGGAAAAGAACATTTTTTTCTTTCTAAATCACAAGAGTGGAAAACAATGCACCTCTTTGATTTTCTGTCCCTAAGAATGAAATCCCTTAAAGTTGGGTTAATGCCTCAGTGCAATTCATAAAAGTCCCTTCCAAGAATACATAGGCACCATTCAAGGCTTGGTAGGTTGTTTTAGAATCAATCACAGTAGCAGCCTTTTGCAGATTAAAATCCACTATTTTTTATGACTATTCAGCCTCTGCAGACAACTGAAAGGAAAACACCACATTATTTCTTTAGTTTTCAGAACTCCATCTTGTAATTTTCATCAACAGAACACATTTAGAGCAAAATTGCTGCTGTGACTGCCTTTGGTCATTGGGTGCTGCAGCAAGCTTGCTGGTCCACCAGCTTGCTCTTCATCCTCTTTGGAGGTGCAGCGAGGGAGCAGGGGAGGGGGAAGGTAAGCCGGACTGAGAGGAGAGAGGGAGGGAGGAGAGGGAGAGAGGAAGAGAGTCAGCAGCTGTGAAGGAAGGGTAGAGGGGAAGGAGCCCCCTGCTATTCACCTTCTCTTCCCTCCCACGAAGGTCAAGAGCGTTGTTATCCTGTGTGCGGTGTTGATGGTCTGTAATCCTCTGTCAACTTAACTGAAGGTGAAGTCTGCACTTTCACAGCTAATGATAAATAGAGCTTTTAAAAGTTGTAGTTTCTTGTTTAACCAATGCCAGTTGCAAATACTTTGTACTGAGAAATAATTCCTCTCTGCCAAATAAAACACAGTGGAAGTCTGTGGTGTGTTTTTCAGCTTATTGTTCATCACAGCTTGCCTGACAGAGCGCTTTCTATGCAGGAGAGAAATGCTCGGGCTGTCTGGCTGCCAATTTCAGTACAGAAAGGACTTTTCTTGTGGAAAAGACAATTTTTTTGTTTCTCCAGACAACATTAATAAAATTTTGTTTTTGTTTGTTTTTTACTTTTTAGTTTTCACTCTTTTACAAGACCCTCTCAGAGGAGAAAACGTTTGTTTCCTTCCTTTGAGTTCGATTCCTTTGAGTTCTTCAGTGTGACCCACTTCTTTCCCTGTCCTGTGAGAAGCTCTCATGGACAGCAGCTTCTCCACAGAACTGGCAGGAAGGAGGCTTCTCAGTCAGCCCACAGATGACTGCATGAGGCACAGCGGGATGAAGGAAGATTCCCCAAGGGCCCCCCACCTCCTGACTGAAGGGAAAGGGATAGTAAGCAGTAGCTGGAGAACAAGGAAAGATACAGTTATAGCGGTTCAAAAGGAGACAGTCTTGCTGGGGTCTAAACGGACATTACTACCAGGATAAATGAAGCAAAGCAACGCAAAAATGCAGTGAGAAGTACCGGCGTGTCATAAAGCACAATGGATGGGTTTTTAGGGCTTTCATGCTTACATATACACTTGTATTTCAATGTCAGTGAAGTCTGCAACATAAACACATCCCGTGGTCATTTTTTAAAGCAAGTGAATTGCCGTATTTGATTTTATGCTTTTGGAAATTATTCTTATTTTTTATTGTGAATCAGATTGCTTTAAGTGGAACTCTCCAGGAGCCCTGGAACTTCACCAGATCCTGGGGGCAGTGGGGAAGGGTGGAGTCACTTCAACCTAACCCTGCCTTTGATGAACTGTTACTGCAGTTTCCTTACAGAAGGTTGTACGAATCTTTAGGAGATAAATTTGTATCACTTTTAACACTTGGGAAGTCCTTCAGACTCTTGTTTTTATTAAAGAACTATATGTCTATATGCCGTCATGTCTTGAATTCATACTTTTTTTTTTTCTTTTTGTCTTTGTTTTTGTTCAATACTGGGACTGAACTCCAGGCCTTTGCACTAAGTACATTCCTAGTCCTTTTCAACTTGTTGGTTTGTTTGTT